AAAAGCAGAAGTTCAGCCAAAACTCAGAGCCCCCTCTGAACAAGTTTCTTGGGTTTTGTCTCTCCAAAACCCAAGCATTCTGATAAATTTGGCTAAATTTACAAGCACATAAGCACGTTTGAGGCCTAATGTTTAGTTTCATGTTTGCATATGGGGGTCAGCTTGAGAGCTGACATGCCAGATCTGCTTGTTGTGTTCCAGTTTAGTGCCTGCGTGTTCCTGAAAGTTGTTTGGTTTTGAGAGGATCAAGACTGGTTCGCAAGGGTGGAAAAACTAGTTAGAAATATTCGATAGGTGTGGAATTGAAAACGGCTGGGGATGCTTGCTGTAGGTGAGCTGTTGTAGCTGAAACTTGGGAACTGCCTTGTTGTGTGGCTCTTCAGCAGTGCCTTCTCCCCATTTCCATGGGAACAGATGGGCTGTTGTTGATAAGAGATCGAGTATCGAACAAGGAAACTGAGGGGCAGCAGCTGAGCCACTGTGACTGTGAAACAGGGCTGACTGCAGGCTGAGGACATCACATGGCAGTATGTGTTCAAATGTAGTGGCTAAAAATAGCCTGCCTGCTTCCTCCTCTCGGGCACAGATGCCCCAGTGTCAAAGGAAGCGTCGCTCTGGCATAGACTTGGTTAGATCTATAGCAGAGATGGGGACTGGCTGCAGAGGAATGCTTTATGTTTTGACCTATACAAAGAGGAGCAGTTTTTAGCAGTTGTGGAGATAAAGAAGTGTTTATGCTTTTTAGATTTGATTTTTTTTTTTTCCCCAGACTGAAGGGTATCTCAGTTTAGAGCAGAGAATCTTTGGAGTTTCGTTTTGTTGCTTAATTTATCTGTATTTATTTGTATTTGGGGAATTTTTCAAAGCAAAATCCAGTGATATATGCAGTACTTAAAGTTTTTATAGCTCTGGTAAGTCTGGGAAGATCTTACCATAGTTCAGTTAAGAATCCTTATTTTTCTTAGAGACGTAGTACTGGGTTTTAAGTATCCAGATGATAAATTTTAATCTTAATTATTAGCTGGAAGTCACTTGGAGGCCAGTTGGAGATGTGGGATAGATGGTTTTAGTGGATGCTTTTCTTAAAATGTTTTGCAGCAAAATGGTTTAATTACACAAAGTCAGTTCTTTCATTTCAGTGGGTTTATGGTTTAAAAAGAACAGAGAGCAATGTCAGATGTAAAAGTCTGAGCCAGATACCCCAGCGCAGAGAGTTCTTACATGTGTTCCGAACTTTTTAATTGTATTTCACTAATGGATGCTAGTGGCATAAGTTTTTTTTGAAAGCTGAGATTTTACATGACTATTCTGCAGTTGTCAGAATAGCTACATTTTAATTACACAAAGTCAGTTCTTTCATTTCAGTGGGTTTATGGTTTAAAAAGAACAGAGAGCAATGTCAGATGTAAAAGTCTGAGCCAGATACCCCAGTGCAGAGAGTTCTTATATGTGTTCCAGACTTTTTAATTGTATTTCACTAATGGATGCTAGTGGCATAAGTTTTTTTGAAAGCTGAGATTTTACATGACTATTCTGCAGTTGTCAGAATAGCTACATAACTTCATAGCAGCCACCAGAATTCCAGCCTTGTGCACGTGACTGCAAAGTTGAATTTAAGGTACTGTAGCCAAGCAAAAATGACTTGTACTAAGCATTGGGAGCAGCTCCAGTGGTGTCTATTTCAGACACTGTCAGAAAAAAATGATTTTGTGGGTATCTGTGTTGTGGAGGTGACTCCTTTTGAAATGATCTGTGAACATGGAGCTTTGTCAAGAAAACAGTAAGTTGTAGTGCCTCTGGAGGAGTGCACACTGGAAGACCCAGCAAGGGGAAAGCAGGGGTGCTTACAGGGTGACTGTGTGTGTATAAGCTCTCTGGTATGTAGTACGGGGCATGGGCGGTTGGCTGTCTGCCAGGGTGTGGATGGAGCTGTGACAGCTAGTTAAACTGATTCTAGAAAGGACAACTGGCTATAAAGATACGGCGGTCTGGGTGTGAAGGAGGAAGAAGTCCTTGGAGCAAACGGAGCCGCTGAGAGGGGGAGCCGTGGAGGGTTCGTTATTACAGCAGAAGTCCCCCGAACAGGTTGTACATCCATATGTGTAGGCGGTTCACCTTACTGTGCCTTTTATCCAGCTGTGGCTTTTTTCTGGTCACAAAGCTGAATGTGTGCTTCAGTGATGCTCCCTCACTGGCATTTGGCTTTGGGCCAAGCATTAATGAGTACTCCAAGCCCTATGTGATTTGGCTTCTCCAATTCTATTAATATATCTTCAGAGCAAGATAAAACTCATTAAAATAATTTACATTTGGGCATTAGAATTTCTGCTAGTTTTTAATACCTGCTGCCAAAAGCACAAATATGTGGTAATGTCCTTTGTATGAAGCTACAGTTTACCTGGTTTTTTATTCTTGGGAAAGGAACAGACTGCCATATCCCTTAACTGCTCTCTGGTGGTAATTAAATGGGTTTGTAGTAGGCAATCTTATCAAAGGTTTGATCTGTGCTACCTTTGATAAAGGAGTGCGTGCTACTGCGTAAGATTTGACTTTCTAGAAATCACATCAAATTGTGTCATGTTTGTGTTTTATTGTATTGTATAATGACTAGTGATGGCGGCTGAGGTGTATAACAACCAAACCTCCTGGTCATTCAAGCTATATGCCAAAATCTTTGCATGACTGAGGTGTAGATCTGGGCTTCAGCCTGTGCCCTCTGTCTCCCTAGTCTCTATGCAATTCACTTTTTTTTATATACCTGTTTTTAATCTCCAGCTTCCGTGCTTGGTATCCCAGAGCTGCCTGCTGGTGTCATCTACCTGTGTTTCATATTCTGGAGTTGAATCAGTTTCTGCACAGAACGCTGTCTCACAGTCAGTGCGGTGGTTGAGAGATGTGCACTGTTTTCTTGCTTAAAGGCAATTCAGTAGACATCAGCTGATCTGTGTCAGCTCTCTGTGTGCAAGCTTTTACCTCAGAGCCTGTAACAGAGCCACGCTTGAACTGCTCCTGACCTCTGGTCAGATTACCCTTGCTAAATGGCTGAACTGTAACGTGTGCTAAAACGGTGCTTGTAAATAAATAAATGGAAGCTCAAAGTAGTAACTGCACAAAAGATACCTTGAATATTTTTATCCCTGTAAAAGTACATAAAGTCTTTTCAACTGAAAATACCCTTAACTGGGCCAGGAAGGTGCTGCTGTGCTAGTTCCCCAGTGGAAGTGCTGGTACTTGGGGGATGTACATCCTACCGTCAGCCTCTTCGGTTGGGAGCTGAGGAACAGGCAGGTAACTGTTACCCACTGTAACTCACTCAGGAGATTCAGATTCGGTTCTTTTTTTGCTTTACCAGATTTCATTTCAGTAGGTGTTGAGGTTTTTCGCTTTTATATGTAGCAGTCAGCAATGATGCAGATTAGGGTGTTGATGTGTCACGTGTTCTTGAAAGGCAGCAGACGTTGATCTTTAGAGTTTAACTTTCTGAAGCACTCCCATCAGCTATTAGAATTTAAAGGTCTGCACTTGCAAATCCTTGTCTGATTTTCCTTTTTTTTTATATATATTTCTTCTCATCACCCTTCCAAAATAGAAAAAAAAAAAGTCGGAAACAGCAATAATTGATTGTGGAGATTTTGGGGGTTTTGGTGGATATCTGCACTGTATCTGCGTGTGTTCGTAGTGCGTGATCTCTGGATCTGCGTTCATGTTGACTTTCTGTTTGCATTTGCTCGTCTTCCTGCGTTCAGGCTGTGCTAATCATGTGATACTTTTGTGACTTGAGGCTTTAAGTGTTTTGTTTTTTTTTTTAAACTCAGATCCAGCTTTTTGTTGGCCATTGTCACAAAGTTAAAGAACCTCAGGAAGCTAAGAAGGAATGGAAGTGCTGGGGAAAAAGTGTTGTTGTGGTGCTTAATTTTGAAGGGGAGGCAGGTTCTGTTCAGTGTTTACTTCCGACACCGAATAAAAACTTTTTGAGGGGAGGTGGTTTCAAACTATAGCATGGTTTTATTTACGGAACATAACACTACTTTATTTGAGGCACTGCTTTCAGTCGGAGTACCAGGCTTGCCTATTGCACTGTACCAGTTAACAGAAACTCAGTGAAAAGTAAAGCACCAAAGTTTTTAGAGCAAGAATGCTTTGAAGTATCAATTTGTACTTTTTAAAGCTACCTATACAGGTCTCCTCTCTTGTGACTCCTGACCTTTCATTCATTTTAGAATAAAGTTACAGTGAGAAAAGTATCCTTTTAAAAGAAAAAAAAAAAGTTCAGCTACATTTGCTGTTCACTTGTGTTTAACTTGCTTTATTAACATAAAAAATGCTCAACAGGCAAGTCACTGTTTCTGCCACCCGATTTAACTTGGTTTTAACTTGTATCGGCAAAACCAGCTGAAGCCGCCAGGTGTGTCTGCAGCTGGGCCTGTGCTAATGTTGTCACGAGGGAGTTTTTCTTGTAAAATTCTCTGTAATATAGATGTTGCCTAGAATCTTTAACATATCCAGTGTGTGACCAGTGCAAATGCAGAAAAGCTGGATGAAATCACATTTATGCTGAAAGTATCAGGTTTGTCAGCTGAACTCAGGAAAAGTGATCCTTAGAAGTGATAAAGAATCAGAACATCTTGGCTTGCAGGTTTTGGACAGAATTTTTTGGCGATGACAGCCAGCTTAAGCTTTGGCACAGATCTCAATCTAGTTATGTTTTAAAAGTACCTGTGGACTTACAGTGAGTTTCTTACTAAAGCATGGGGTTTTGGCACTAAAATCCTTTGGCTATTTTAAATTACTTGTCCAGCTTTTTGTTCACCACAGTTTTGTTCGCCACAGTTCTGAACACTGATGAGATGCAGTGGAGCAAGGTGACTAGCGCCATTTTTTATAGGCTTGTGTTAAAAGTGCAGTCTCTGAAACAAGTGTGGGAAGAAGCAGCTAGTACCTTCATCAGTTTTGCTGTATCTTGAAATGTGGTAAGCTTATTTTTTGTTTCATTCCTTCAGGTTTTGAATGAAGAATGCGATCAGAATTGGTACAAGGCAGAACTCAATGGAAAAGATGGCTTCATTCCCAAGAACTACATAGAAATGAAACCACATCCGTAAGTAGAGCTTTGGTGATAGGCTCCCCTGATCTTAGTTTTGCGCATGCTCTCAAACAGAAGGAAGATCTTCTGCTGAATACTTTGCAAAGTGTACCTTACCAGATCTGCCAAAATGTATGGACAGATAAAGGATGGCTGTTGAGTTGTATCTCTGGCTGCAGTGTTTCCTGTAACTCATTTCACAGCTAGCTGTATAGCAAGGGGGTTTTTGGAAGCTTTTCTGGTGGTTGCTCTGGTGCTTTGCTGTAGGGTCAGATGGACTGACCTTGCAGGTAGCAGGCATAAACCAGCAGAAGACTCTTCAGTAGAGAGTTGTCTGCACCACTGCCTCAGGAAAAAAAGTGACTGTGTTCTGGTGATGATCGTCTATTTTACTTAGCGTAGCAGATTAAGAATAAAAATTAATTGCGTTCAGAGCTTACCAGAAAAATGTTTAAGGATATTTGCAGCTGAACTCTTAGTATATCTATGTCACATCCCAAGTGTATAATCACAGAATTGTTTAAGTTGGTGTCGTGGTTTAACCCAGCAGCTGGCAACTCGGCCCATGCAGCTCAGGGCAGACAGCCGCTCACTCACGCCTCCCCCCACAATGGGATAGGGAGGAGAATGGACAAAAAGTATAACTCATGGGTTGAGATAAAGACAGTTTAATAAGACAACAAAGAAGGAATAGTAATAAAGAATACGCAAAAGAAGTAATACTCAGTACAATTTTTCTCACTACCCAACAACCGATTGTGCAGCCTGTCCCCGAGCAGCGATGGCGGAACGCACAGATCCCTGTGCCCCCGGCCAACCTCCATTTCTGTATTAAGCCTGGCATCTATGGTGTGGAATATTGCCCTTGGCCAGCTTGGGCCAGCTGCCTGGCTGTGTTCCCTCCCAGCTTTTGTACACTTGCTCATCAGCCATACCTGGAAACTGAAAAAAAAAAAAAATAAAAAAAAAATCCTTGATTTCTTAGCAACAACTAAAAACATCAGTGTATTATCAACATTCTTCAAATACTAAATCCAAAACACAGCAGCTACTGGGAAGAAAATTAGCTCTCTCCCAGCTGAAACTGGGACAGTTGGACAGGACCTCTACAGTCATCTGGTCCAACACCTTCCTCTCAAAAGAGGCCAACCTCAGAGTGTTACGCAAGTATAGTTGCATTGATTTGCAGCTCCAGAGAACGGTATTTGAGTAATTATCTTGAACGTTTCCTCTTAGATATAAAGAATCTAGCATATGAAAATAGTAGCATTTGATGACTGGATATTTTCTTTGTGTCAGTTCATGTATTTCTGCTGTCTTCCACTAAACTCTGGTTCTGCCAACCTTCGAGATCCTTCAACATCTGAACAAGAAAACAGCAAGCTCTGGGTAACAGATTCAAAGGGGAGAAAAGATTTAGGAAGAAGCAGTGAAACCTGTAATCAGGGTTTTTACAAGGAGCTGTGGTGTTTCAGTTGCCCACAAAAACTGATGATTGATTAATTGTTGGCTGTAAGTATGTGATTAAGATAATGCAGTTAAATCAAGAATTATTTTTCCAAGGGCGCTTTTGAAATAACGGTAGGAAGTTTCTGAAGGACTGTCCCCCAAGAAGGAGAGGAGGTGTACTGCTTTAGTGCAGCCAAGTGGGAATTGAGGCAAGGATGCACAAGAATATTCTGAAATTGTTTAAAGCCTTGTCTGCTGCAGTAACATACCTAGTTTACCCTGATCATCATAGTCCACTGGGGTTCACAAATGTACGTTGCAGTTTCTCTCTCTCATTGATTTGAATCATCATATGTCTTCTAATAACAGCTTTGCAGGCACTTGAGTTGTACTGCAGTGATGTCTCCTGTGATGATCAGTTTGTTTTGTAATAATCCATGGTATTTAGAGGGATAAAGCTGTCAGGTTTTTTTTGTTTTGATATCAAAAGGGAATGAATAATATCTGAGCCTGCAAGTGGGTGAATTTGGTAGTGGTTTTTAAGCATGGTTAATTTGACCTTTTCTGAAGATGTTTAAACTGCTGATGGCAGCTGGATGGAGTTAGCTCTGTGTGTCAGCAATGCCAGGAGTCTCAGCTAGTGCATTAACAACCCTGGGAAACTAATGCAAAAGTTTTTATAGCATAATGTTAGCTTAGCTGTAATGCAGAGCTCTCTAAGTGGTCGTACAGGTCATACAAAAAGCAAATTGCAGGCACCTGACTAGATGTGACAAAGAGAAGATTCCTTTTCTCAGACTAGTATCAAATCGTGTTGTGCGAAGGTGGCACGAGAGCTTTTCAAGAGGATTTGGAAAGAAAGCAAAGTTTTAAATCCTGTCCTGGGATCTGAGACTTAAATCCTCCTGCCACACAGCTAGTCTTAAATGCACTGGTTTTTCTTGCTTGTATTTTGCAAGTTTGCTTTGTAACTACTAGCAAATGAAGCGGAAAGGAAAATGTGGCGCCTCTCTGTCACCAGCTGAGTCACCTGGGTTCCGAAGGGTTAATCTGAATTGCCACATCAATTAACAAAGCCAAGATGTAAGTAGACACAGGCATGATACTTGGAGAAGAGCTGCAGGAAGCTCTGGACAGGGAGGCTTCCTGTGAAGATGCAGCAGTGCAGTTCAGTGGCAGGACTACCTTTCTCTCTCTAAGGGGGCAGGGGACGAATCTGCTGTTTATAGAACAGCCTGGATGGGACTCATGGTGTTCTCTCAAGCGTTCGTAGTGGTAGCCAGCTTTGCTTGAAGATACTGTGGAAGTCTGACTTCGCAATATTATAACATATGTGGAGGAGAATCAGCTGAGCTAAATGGTTGTGCCAGGTAAAGCCAAAAGAATTGCCGAAATGCCGATTGAAATGAGCCTGAACGCGGCGTGAGCTTTGTGTTGTACTGACCAGCGCGTCTCCCTCTAGCTGTGCAGCATCAGCAGTAATGCTGGGTTTGACTTCGCAGTGCTGACTGGATGAATTTCACCTACATTACAAAGCTGTTTGGAGACAAGTGTTATCAAGCTTAGCCCTTCAGCAGGGAAGCTGTGGGAATGTTGCGGTCAGCTTCTTTAGCCTAATTCTCTTGGACATGCTGTGATTTTTGTTAGTTTTTGTAATCATTCTATACTAAAGATCCCTATCTGTACAACACTTCTGCTGCTTTACAGGTGTGTTCTTAAGTAGACACTAATGCTTCAAAATAACTTTGTTTCTTTCACCTATGTTTTTTTCCTTTCATCTGTTTCATATTTAGAATTCAAGCTTCTTTTACTCTGAAGGACTGAAGTGGTAGTGAAGTCGTAAAACTGCAAGGGTGTTCAAGAATTGTGAAAGATTTTTTAATTCTATTTAAAATGCCTTTGAAACAGCCGGCAGAAAAGTTTGAGAATTAGATATTGTTACTTTGGAAGCGTTACTTCCTTTAATCGAATTGTACACTTCAACTTTGTAGTGATTCAGTAAAATTTAGGGGAAAAACAGAGCGTACTTCTGAGGCTTCAGGAAGGATTACAGAAACTGAGCTTTCAGGCTCTCCTTCCGTTTTACAGAGATGGGTGAGGTGTTTTGGTTTTTTTTAAGATGAGACTTTAATTTCCCAGTCACATGTGAGTAATGCAGAATTACTTGAACACTAAACAGAATTAAAACACTTTATAAAGAACTATGGCAAGATACCTAAATCATAATATAAAGCTTGCTTTATATGTAGCCTTCAGCAGAGGCAAAATTCAAGACTGACTTAGCTTTCTGACAACTGTGCCAAAAGCCCAGGAAACAAAATACTGCCTTGGAATTCTGAAGGAGTTTCACAGAATGGTTTCTCTTAGTTGACTTTTGAAGGCAGCAGAGTGCAGTGAGAGACAGGTAGACTCTCCCTCTGCTATCTTTGCCAGCACCTCGGGTACTGAGAAGCAGCACAGATGCTAAACCACCAAGGAAAGCACTAAATGCTATGAAGTTCTTTATCACTAGAAGTAGGATGGTTGTGGGAGAAAGCTTTTCCTTTCCATTCCAGGAGATAAAAAGTACACAACAAGACTTGCAAGCAAGTAAAACGTGTGCCTGTGGCGAGGGGGGTTGGAACTAGATGATCTTTAAGGTCCCTTCCAACCCACACCATTCTATGATTCTACATCAAGGTGATCATGGAAACCGAGATTGTAAACAAGATGTATCATTTTCAGTGCTAAAAGGCTTTTCATAATGGAGCTGCGTAGCTAAATGGAGTGAATACTCCTTTTACAAGGGGGATGTCCTTGAGTTGTTTTATTGGATATGTTGCATGTAGTAGAAACGCACCCGTGGACTCATCGTTCTTGATACAATACAGGGACATGTGTTCGTGTAGCCTCCTGTGGTGAGCAGATACTGAAGACAGCCAGTGGGAGGAGAGAGGGCTGCTGGAGAGTCTGGTCATCAAGTAACTGGGTCCTCCTTCACCTCTAGAGATAGCCTCTTCATAGAGAGGGAGATCTGGTGACTTGGTGATTTCATGAAAGCTTCAACTTCTCTTAACGACGACTCTGTTTCAGGGAGGGTTCTGCAACTTCTGTCTTTTTGCTGCACCAGAACCTTCACTGTAGAAAGTAAGCTTTTTGTGAGTGGAGCTCTTGTTCTTAAATGCCTTCCTTTAAGGTCCATCATCTGCATGGTTGTAGGCTGTGGTAAGTGCTTCTGTCCTGTGTGATCTGTTACTCAGAACTGAAAGCTGTACTTTTTGGTTGTGGAGATGGTTCTGCTTTTCCCACGCCATGTGACCTACCACTCAGCCCGTGTTTGCCTTTAGTCTTGGATTAGTCTGGAAATGCAAATGTGAATCTCGTGACCAGGGGCTGTTGGTCAGTGCTGAGGATCTGGTTGCCTGAGGTAGGTTCACCCTTGGTGTCATGGAAGTGGTCAGCCTGTGGCTTTGACTTCTGTGGAGCTGTCAAGCATTTTGGATGTGGCGTGATGGTGCAGCTGTTCCATGTGACTGCTTATGTGAAAGCTGCTGGATTGTCCTGACTGCAGGAGAAAGCAAGAAAACAGGCTACTGAAAGAAGTATTATCAGCGTCTTTCCAAGAACTGAATTGCATGCCCAGCTCAGCACTCCTCTGCAAGGAAGCAGAGACACCTTGGCGGAACTTTTCTCACTTGATCTGCTTGTAACTCCACTCCTGGCAACTGCCTTAGCTTTCTGACACATGATGCCTGTCTTTGACCGCAGTGCTCTGGTAGGGGTCAGAAAGGTTGGATTCCAGGCTGCAGGAACAACCAGCTGCTGAATGAGGTTACTTATTGTGTCTGCTGAAGTAGTTGTGTCTTACCACCTGAGCTAAAAGAGACTAGAAATTGGTTTTGATACGAAGTGCACTTTACACTTGTGCAGGATGGGTCAATCCGTAGACAGGATCTTGTTTCTGGAGCTGTGATGTTTCTGAAGAGAAACCTGTGGGTGAACTCCCAGTGTTCCCCTTGCACTTTGCAAATATTACTTTTTTTTAAGATTTCTACCCACTATAATAATGATGTTTCTGTGCTTATTCCTTAATAACTTATATTTTCTGTGTTGTCTGCTCAGCAAATCATGGCTAAGGCATGGGTGGCTTCTCCTTAGGAGGCAAAAGTAATAAAGGAGATGGTGTAATTACTCCCCCCTGATTATCTTTGGGTACTAATAGTGAAATAAATGCAGCTATATCATAGGGAAGTTCAGCAGTGACCAGCCACCAGTGCAGGACTTCTTTGTTGTCTCTGAGTTGGTGGCATCATACAGTTTAGACAATTAAAATTTTGCATGTAGAGACATGAGACTTTATTCCTTAGTGATAGAGGAAGGGGACTTGAGTTTCTTGCTTGAGCTAGGCATTTAATCTGTTTGACTTCAGGTTATGAGGCCTGGTTACTAAGGTATCAGTGCAGACCACAGCAGACATTTTAGCTTTGTGCAAGGTTGTAGCCAGTTCCCAAGGTAGTTGTCTTAGTCTCATGAAGCAAGACTTTGCTGTGAAGCAATTGTGGTATTTTATATGCTAAACTGCAGATACAGTAGGGTGCAAAACAATGTGAATAATGCATTTAATTTTGAGCAGATTTTTTTCCACCTCTAAAAATAAATCCTGTAATTTGAAGATTTCTGTCTTACCACATCTCTGCTTTGCTAAATTGGGTGAAATACAGCTACTGCAAGCACCTGCGTATTTTGTCATGGTTGCTTCATTGCCGGGCTGGAACACTCTGAAAAGCTGCGTGGTTCAGTAGCCTGCATTGGAGTGGCAGTGAGGTGCAGTGTAGTTGCTTCTGTTAGGAATCATTTCATCTCTGTGTGAATATCTACATCTGGCTTTTCTATGAAAGCATTAACATTCTTAACTTTCCCTATCGTTTTATTTTCCTCACTCCACAGGTGGTTTTTTGGAAAGATTCCGCGAGCGAAGGCTGAAGAGATGTTAGGCAAACAGAGACACGATGGTGCCTTCCTCATCAGGGAGAGTGAGAGTGCTCCTGGGGACTTCTCCCTCTCAGTCAAGTAAGTAAAGCCCAGAAGCAATCATGTGTGGTAATCAGGCCATCTACTGCTCATTTGGACTCGTGGATAAAGGACAGCTGATTGTCAGTGCTGAGGAGCAGGAATAATCTGCCAGGTGCCCTATAGCATTCCTCTTCTTCCAGTGATACTTAATTATTCCCTCTTTAATAGAACAAATGTATGTACTCTGATTTGTAATGAGCCTACAGGGCTGACCTGGTGGCATGTTGCTGTCTGGCTCACATAGGCTCAGGCATTATCTGTTGGTTTGTTTGTGGATCCCATTCCTCCGCCTCACAGCCACAAAGTGCCCAGTGTGTACATGTTCTCTCCCATCCTCCTTCGTTCCTCTGGTACAGTACGAGTTACTACTCTCATCTACTCTGTCTGTGTAGTACACTTCCCAATATGTTGTTCATGTCGCTTGGCGCGTGCTTTGGGGGGTGTTCGTGTTGTCTAGCACTGGGACGTGGAGCTGTGAAAACATGGCCTTCCACGTTGGTAAAGAAACTCAGCCTAATAACAGTGAAGTGAGGAGGAGCAGTTCTCATCCTTGAATAATCTTACTAGAAGTACTAGCTGTTAACCAGCAGGAGTTCCTGCTAGTTAGCCATGGCCCACAAATAACCGTGCTACCTATCTTGCCCATCTGAATTCACTGTAAAATAGAGGTATTAGAAACTTGAAAGGGTATGTGACATAATTTAACATGGGTTGGGGGTAGGAGGGTTTCTGTCCTCAGCAGTTCATTTTTGCCTTTTTCTTTATTTTCTGTAATCTTCTGCTTTCCTACCAGAAATGAACAAGATTTTCTTTGGCATCCTAACAATAATTTTTTATTATTCATGCACAGTTCCTAGTTTGCTCTATTTTCTGTGGCTATCAGTGATCTGTCTCGGCAGGATTTTTGTTTTTTCCTGGTCATCTTTGGTCTTGTAACCAAAATTTTATCCTCCTGTACAGCAGCACTGAGTCAGACCAACAAACTGGATTAAAGCCACTGATTTTAAGAGACATTTATATTTCTGTCTTGGCTACAGTCATTTGAGCTGGAATACTAGATATGAATGGAAGCTTCATTCCAGAAAGTACATTCCTGTAAGAACATAAAGATAGAATAGCATAGCTCTGCCTGCATGTTAGCTTAGTGTTGCCATCTGGTGGTACTCTCAGTTGATTTTTTCCTCCCCCCCCCTGTTTCTTTAATTTAGAAAAGTCTTTAGTTTCCTAAACAGTCATCTGCAGGATTTGAAATGGTGAGCAGCTCTCAGGCTGAGGAAGGGAGAGCAGAGGCAGTACTCATGAGTTGTTTCATATTAGCTTTGTAGCCGAGATAGTGTCCACGTTTGCAGCCGACGTATAGAAGCTGTGCATGCCAAGTGGGGAACAGTTGCCTCCAGTTTTCAGTGTTCTAGACTGAAGGAAACCGATGTGCCATTCGTCTGGAGAATCCCAGTGGACCTCTTTGGAGTTCCCCTTTATTCAGAGTAAGATCGCTGGAAAAGTAGCTTCTACTGAATGCCATCATTTGTCAGAAAGAGCTGTTAACACAGAATTGGAGTTGCTGTGTCCTGTGTGCAGCATCACCTTTCAAGCATTTTATGTTCTTTGTTTTTGAAGGACCGGAGAAATCGTTTTGTTTTGCAAGACAGTCTTTTGCAGAAGTCCAGACTGGCTGTCAAAAGAAACAATCCTGCCCTCCCTGTGGCAGTGTTTTCCCAGCAATTTACCTATAATGGGACTGGTGCTTGTGTACTGCGTTGTCACACGCACCCAGTGGTGCTGTGTGAGGGAGGGACTGAAATGGTGAGAAGTACAGGACCAGAGCAAGAGTAGCCCAAAGCTAAATTGGCTCGAGTCAGTTGTGAAATTGCTGTGTATGAAGAGCTACACCAAAGCACTTGTACTGTTTGACTTCAAAATCTTGTATTTGGGAATGTGAAGTGGAAGGCACCGTGGTGCAGGTACTTTAATGTGACCTTGTATTGCAAAGTCCTTGGCATGTCGCCGAGGTGTTCTGTGCACTGTCCTCAGCAGCTCAGGTGACTGCATACATACACACACCAAGAAGTACAGGTACTGGATGCCAGCTGTGTGGCAGTGTAGTATAAAATAAAAACCTGAAATACTGCGTGTCATCCAGGATAAAGAGTGTTGTGACACTGGAAATCCTTTCCAAAAAGAACTCAAACTTCTGCAAATTCAGAGTGTTTTGAAGAGCTGGTTTTGAACTGAAGTCTATTAGAAGAAAAGCACATATGAAGCTTGCAGGATTTTTTTAAAAATAAATTCAGTATTTGGATTCTATCTCTCTGATCACTGATTTCTGTAAAATAGGGTTGACAAGTGGTTTTCAGATGTGTGTTGTACAGCAACTGATTGGTGTCTATATTATCAGTGTCACTGACAGTTTTCACTGTGCCCCGAAGGACCTTTTTGTTCCAAATTCTTTGCTGACGATCCCAAAAGTGAGGAGTACTCAGTGACTAATAATGTGCTTTTTTTTGTGTTCTTCATTCTTTCTGCACAGGTTTGGAAATGATGTGCAGCACTTTAAGGTGCTTAGAGATGGGGCTGGCAAGTATTTCCTCTGGGTGGTGAAGTTCAATTCTTTGAACGAGCTGGTAGATTATCACAGATCCACATCTGTCTCCAGGAACCAGCAAATATTTCTCCGGGACATTGAACAGGTGCCACAGGTAAGAGGAGTGTCCTCGTAGGGTGCACTGTTTAGACTATTGCAACCACAGTCTGAAGTGAGATTGCATCTTAGAGTAAATGAATAGGGATGGAAAGAAGCTGACTGACGTTTTTCTTGTCTGTGGAAGTGTATCTGTAGATCCCGCAGCCAGAGTTATGCTGGGAAACAGCTGGATGTTTGTGCAAAGCCTACCTGCTACCTCCCTGGTCTCCCTTTCAGTTCTGGCAAAGTGGTGGTGTTGCTGCTTGAGCACTTTTCTCGGTGTTTGTGGGTACTGTTGCAGGAAGGTCATCTGATTCCTGTGAATTGAAAATGGGTTTACTTCTGTTTCAGAACACAGTAAAAAGGGTAATTCTGTTTGAACTGGCTTATAGCCAGAACTGCACCCCTCTGCAGCCAGTGGAGTTTTGGTACTCGTCTTTCCTGAAGAGATGGTTACGGGTAGCAGCATGTGGAACATCTCTAGCCTGCTGGTTTGGATCTAGCCAGTGTCAAGAAAAAACAAGAACTACTGCTCAGTGCCAGCAGAGCAGCCTGTGTGTATCCAGCTCTTTGTTTTGCTCCATTTGCCAGGGCAATCAGCATGTTATGTTGCATGTAACTGGATCTTTTGTCGATCTTTGGATAAAAATCCTTTTTCCTCCATGTGTAGCATTCTAGTTCTAGCTTGAAGGCAAGGGGTGTGGAACTCGTACTGCTCTCCAGGTGCTGCGGGCACCCTTTGCCACAGTTTGGCTGAATTAGCATCTGGCTCTGCGCTGGCGGGTCAGTGATGAACAGAGGATGAGAAAACAGCTGGCTGAAAATACGAGCATGAAGATACCTTCCTAGCCTCACGATTTTAAGAATGCAGATGCATTTTAAATTAGCTGTTAGCTTTTCCGTAAGAATGGGAGCGTTTGCTGACCAGGCAAAACGCTCTGTGACAGAATTTCTTGATATTGGAGAGTTTTGAGGAAAATCTATAAAATGCCAACATCCAGTTTTCAAGGGGAGCTTTGTGTCTCACAGTGTTAGGTAGGTTAGTAATACTCATGCGATCAGTTGGTGAAAACAGGATGAATAAGCAACAAGACGGTTGTATCGCAATGGAGTATGGATTTACAGTGGGTCATGAAGACTGGAGAACACTAGGAAAGCATCGGAGTCATCTCCTTGTCTTTGTTTTGGCTCTTTCACAGAAACTTGACTTTTTTGTAAGGTTTTCTATAGACTGTGCTTTCTTGTTTTAGCATCTCGTTACTGATGTTGGAAGCTGGCTTGCAGGGAACTGCAGCAGCCCGGATGTTTATTGTTAAGCTCTGGTGTAAGTTAAGCTCCTGTCTGAGGGAGCAGATCTCTCGAGTGCTGTGGGTGATTCTCACTTCGTGTATGTTTTTCTTTCCCCTTTCAGCAACCAACATACGTTCAGGCCCTCTTTGATTTTGATCCCCAGGAGGAGGGAGAGCTGGGCTTCCGTCGCGGAGACTTTATCCAAGTCCTTGACAATTCTGACCCCAACTGGTGGAAGGGAGGCTGCCACGGACAGACGGGCATGTTTCCACGCAACTATGTGACCCCAGTGAACCGGAACATCTAGAGATAAATATTAGAGATTATTTAAAGAAACCAGAGAAACAGTAAATACACATACAGAGCCTAACTGCAGCCAGTGACCTAAAAAACACACGGCGATAAAACCTGAGTCACCTTTCACGGTGAGGTGATCCTCCTTCACTCAGTACGGAACTTCAGGGGCGGGGGGGGAAGAGTTCAACTTAAACACCAAAACTTACCTTTAAAAAGGAAAAAAAAAAAAAAAGAGAGAGAAAAAAATGAAAATAACAGATTTCCTCAGCTGCTCCTGGGTTACCCCCTTTCGTTCACTCTTCTTGTTTCCCCCTCCTTCTCTGTCCATCAGTGCATGAAGTTTTAATGCCATATAAAGTCCTAGCCATGCAGTTAAAGGAAAAGGGAGAAACTCTGCTAGTATTTTCTCTCTCTGCAAACGGTCTTCATTTGACATGAAGGGACATGAGAGAAGAACCAAATCCACAGTCCTGCCTTTAACAAAAAACAAAAATCATCAGTCTGCTTTTGCCTTCAACATTCAGCTCTTCTTGCCTGGAAAAGATGAGGTGTTAATCTAATTTTTATTGTCTCTTCTCCTTTGGCACTTTCTTCTGAAGCTCAGCAGCTTCCAAGCAGGGGAAGGGAGAAGAGTTGTGTTGATTTTGTTTTGTTTTATTTTCTTTTGAGTCACAGAGCTGCTTTGAGAATCTCCAACGTACAACTGAAGTCTGTTAATGCTGTGCTGACAGCTTTTTTGTTTTTTCTTAAAGGTGTACGGTTGAGCACATTCTGTAATTTTTTCCATAGTGCCTTTCCCTTATTTTCTTTTTTATTATTTTTTAAGTTAAAAGGACAGTCCAGAGCTTTTCAGAGGGGTGTTTTCTGCCTATGTGTAAATAAATACTTTTGGGGAAAGGGTGTAAAGGAGGGTGGTGTTATCAATGGACATTTGAGAAAAATCTGCAAACAGAGATGGAGCTTTAATCTTAAGATTTGTCTTACTGTTCAACTTTCCTTACTCCAAGGAAAATAAAATCAAGGCATTCACGTGGCAGCTTAGGCTGCTCAGAGGTGGGGAGCTGCAACCAGGAGCCTCAAAAGAAGTAAGAGAAAGGGGGAAGCTATGACCAGGGAAAATGAGGAAGAATATTTTGGGGAGGGAGGGTTAAGGGGGGAATTTGAGAAATGGTAGCCCTGAGATGTCCTACAAAATGTACATTCCTTTGATGGAAAACTTTATAATGCAGAGAAACCTCAAGAAATAGTGCTTGAAAAAACTTTATGCTATTAGTGAATGTTTCTACGTGATGCATGTGATAAGCCTGTCTCTTTGGCCTGGATAGGGAATATTTGCAGTCGTGTTGCTCTTGAAGAGTGGGGTTGGCATCACTGTTCTCCAGTTTCTCCTCCTGCCTCAGGTCAGTGTTACTGTTGAAGTAGACTCCCCCCACCCCACTCCCCATTCACAGCAGGCTGTGTGATGACTGTAATCCCCACCCTGCACCATAATGGCATTTATTGTGGCCATTTGCTCCTCCACCAGAGCAGTGTGACGTTAAATTGGACGGAAAGGAAAGCAATCAAGCTGCACCGCTCTCTGTGCCAATCTTCAGTTGCGTTATTTTTCCTTTTGAAGGCCATTTGGCTGGATCCCTTCACCCCACCAACGAATCCAAAAACTGCAGCGGAGATCTCCTCCCGCCCTGCCTAAGCACAGGCAATCTTTTGTTGGAGGGTGCCTTTTTTTGTACTAAGTGTTACAAATGTTTTATTCCTGAGATGGACTCTGCCTTACACTTTAATTTTCCAGCAGATGAAAGAGAGAGCTGTCCTGTAGAGTATTACTTTCTCCCCCTCTCCTTGCTAGCTGTTACTCACTTTCTTCCTTCTTTGTAAAGTGATTGGAAAAGGAATCTATGGCATTCTACACCTGGACCATTTGATTGTTTCCTTATTTTGGAATTGGTGTATATCATGCAGCCTTGCAGACGTATGTCTTGTGTGTGTATATATATTAAAAAAAAAAATCAGTGTTTAAATAAAAAAGGCCTATGTACTTAATCCTTTAACTCTGCAGCAGCATTTGGTAGATAGTAATTAACTGTGAATAATAAATATACATTGAATTCTTCACTTGAGCATCTGTCTGTTATTTCAGTTAACTGACCAAAATATAACTGATCGACCTAATTTATAGGCCACTAAATTTCTGTGGGAGGCGAAAGCTGTAAGGTGTGCTCTGGCCTGAAGGCCTCGGACTCTGTAGCGTTGTAGTTCAGTCTCGGTGTGCCTGGCTGAATTCGTTAACTCGTTAAAGCTCCGTCACCGGGGAGCCCTTCACTCGGCACGTGTGGCATCGTGGATAGCGGCGGAAAGGGATGATGGTGTCGCTTCCAGGCCTCAAGACCGTGTATCTCTCCACTGAGCAAACGGGTGGCACTTCGCTGTGTCTTCCCTTGCCTTTTTCTAAGCTTTTTACCAAATCGCTGAAGTGCCCCGTGGTACGGACTGTAGTGTCGTGAGGAGCTGGCAATGGAGAAGGGTAAACCAATTATTTCTGGAGAGTCTTGCTGAAGGACGGAGGGGAAGATGGGCGTATGACCTGTGTGAGCACAGCAGCCGTGGCTCAGGCTGTCGCGGGAGCTTTTGCTCGGCCTGATCGGAGCCTTGCAGATGGTTTCTGCTTCGGTTGCCCGGAGAAGTGCTCGGCTGTGCGCCTTTGCTGATGTTTGCAAAGTCCCGGTGAGTTTGTAACCGATTTTAATTCCCAACAGGAGCCGGCCCACACGAGGGGCTGGGTGGCTGTTCAGCAGCTGCTCACCATTACTGTGCTCAAGTCCAGATGTAGTCAAGCAGTCTGTGGTTGCTCAGAAACGCCTGGGTATTCCCATGATTAGTGCTTTGTTTTTCATTTGTGATGGTGAAGTCAATACAGAAATGATCTGCAGTGCGGTTTGGAGCTCTTGGCTCTTGTGCTACAGCAGAGCTCCTCCAGATTCTCGCTTCCTCAGAATCCCGCGTTACTCACACCTTGGGCAGCTGCTGAAAAGATTACAAAATCTGCCTTTGCTGGTGGTTTATAGAGGGAAGACCAATGTTTGCCGCTGCTGCTGCGGCCGTCTAACGCCGAGGCCGGGCGAAGACCCGCCGTGGGCCAGCCATTGCTCCGCGGGTCCGCTCTCCGCTTTGGCAGCTGGCTCGGCGCAGCTGGTGCTCGACCGCAAAAAAACAAAAAAAAACCAAAAAAA